AATTATTAAAGAACTTTGGAGAAGAGCACTTAAAAATGCTAAAAATATTTTGAGTTTAATAAAAATACATAATTTGTTGATAATAATTTTGATATTTATAGTAATTCTGATAATGATTATATAATTTAATATAATATTTATATCATATCTTTTTCAATATATACTAATAATATTTATTAAATAAAAAAAAGAAAATTATATAATAAAATTTTTTTTATTAATGTAATATTTGAGATACTAATCTTTTTATAATGGCTTATATTATATAAAACTAATTTTATTAAAATTTAAACTTAAAAAAAAGATTAATTTTTTAATATAAATAAAATAAAAAATATTAATTAAAAAAATTCATATAATAATAATCAAAATAATAGAATATTTATTATAAAATATAATATTTTAAGTAAGTTATAAATAATAATTAAAATATATAAAAAAATATATTATATAATTTAATAAATATATAAAAAATATTATATTAAATTTAAATAATTTAAAACTTAATTAATTTATAATTTTATAATTTAATTAATTTATAATTTAGAAAGTTTATATAATACTTATTAATTTATTAAATTTAAATTAAATAAAAACAAATTATTTTTATAAAAGTTAATTAATTTATTATAATAATTAATTTATTTATAATTAGTTTATTAAAAATAATTATATATTATTAATTAAATTTTTAATAATTATTTTATTTATATAAAAAAATAATTTAATAAATAAATTTTCTTTATATTAATTAAAAAATTATAATTTAAAATCAAGATATTTATTATACTAATTAATTTTTTTATCATAAATATAAATTTATAATTTTCTTATAAAATATTTAAAATCTTTTTTTATAATTAAAAGAATAAATTAATAATTAAAAAAATCTTTAAATAATTTTATTTATTTTATTTGAAAATATTTTAAAAAATATTATTTTTTAAAAAATTATTTTGATTATAATTCTTATTTAATTCATAATTTTTATTCAGAATCAAAAATATTTTTTGATAATATACTTTTAGTAAATGATAAATAAAAATTTCTTATAAATTATTAATTAGATAATTATAATTAAATTAAATTTAAATATTCTAGATAAGAGATTATTAATTATTATTAAACTTAAATATTAAAATTTTAAGTAATTATTTAAGAATATACTTTTGATTAGAAGTTAAAATTATTTTTATTATTAAGTATATTTTTTTAGTTGATAAAATTCTTTATATAATATTAATATATATAAATTTTGATTTTGAGTAATATAATAAAAAATAAAAAATAAAATAAGAAATATTAATAAATAAAATATAATAAAATATTTTATTTTTTATAATTATATAAAATATATTATAATAGTATTATAAAGAATTCATATAATAATTTATAATTATTATTATACAATAAAAAGATTTAATATTATTAATCTATATCTTTTATATATATATATACTTAAAAATTTAATTTCTAATTATATTACTAATTTAAATATTAGTTATCTTTTAATATAATTTATCTGATATAAGTTATAATTCATAAATTTATATGATTTATATTTTGAAATTTTTATTTATCAATAGTAAATATCTTTTTTTATGCTTATATATATAATAATAAGTATTCTAGTTATAATAAAAAAGTGATTAATTTTAAAAGATAAATATAAATTAATAAAATATATTATTGTAATAAAAAAGTTAAAGTATAGAAAAGTAAATTAAAAATAAATATTTTTTTATTACATATTTACTTCTTAAAAAATTACAAATATATTTTTAAATTTAATTAAATAAAATAATTTTAGATAAATATTTTAAATAATTAAATAAATATTAATATTTTTTATTTAATAAGTTTTAGATAAATCTAAAATTAATAAATATTTTAGACTATTTATCTAAAAATTATAAGTAAAATCTTTCTATATTCATAATTTTAGAATATGAAAAATTATGATTATAAAGAGATGTAATATATATAGTATTATTTTTTATACTAATAATATTAATTAACTTTTTTAATACTTTTAACATAGTTGAGTGATCAATTTTTAAATAATATTTACTATTTTATAATGTTTATAATTTCTTTTTTTTTTGAATATTACTGATATGACTATGCATTTTTTTAAATATGAATTGAGAAGATATATTTGCAAGGAATAATCATAAAATACAAGTTTTTAATTTGTCATAATATTATATTTTCAATAGCCAGGATTTTAGAAAGAGTAGTATAAGTGAGAAATATATATATATATATATGCATGCAAATTATATTATGAATACATTATGAAAAACTTGATCAATTTAGCTTGATTGATTATATGCTTAATATTATTGATTAATCTAAAATTTATGTCTATATAGGAGATTATTTTATTAGTGTCATTTTTGAAAAAAGTGTGATAATGACCATAAGCCAATTGTGCTTATAAAGAGAGTAAAAAAAATTGGTTATTGAAAAAATGTGACTATATAGGAGGTGACTATAGGAAGGTTCAACTGTATTTATATTTATAATATTGATTTATTATATATGTATATGTTATTTTCCAGATACCAATTCTTAATGTTAAATGATATTAATAAATTTATATGATTTATAATAAGTCAACATTAGTCTCAGAAACAATCTGCGCAGGTCAGAATCAATCTGCATAAATTAATATATTAACGATAATTATTATTGAAAATGTTGGGATCTATTCCAGAAACAGGCCAACTGCTGAGTAACTTCGAGGCTTTATCATATCTACTTTATCAATTGTCATTGAAAAACTGAATAAGTTGCATTATAACGCGTCTTAAATTAGAGTGGCAGGGATGGAAAAACTTGATGGAAAAATAGGATCGCAAGCAATAATTCCTAAGAATATGAATAAAAACAAAAATCCAACTAAATGCAGTTTTCATGAATCGAATATTTACTCCAAAATCGCAAATGATACAGGTGTGTACATTTGTTTTTATATTCATTCAAAGTGCATTATTACCGTATATACCAAGTGCAATAGAAATGAAGTAAGTTGTACTAAAATTCTAATACAAATTACTTCGTTTCTATTGCGATTGGCACATTATTAAAAAAATTTACTTGTTTGCATATACATGTAACATTGGAATATGCAACCGATGGGTGCCGCTCAACATCCCGACACCCATCTTCCCGACAATCCAACATCCCGACAACCCAACCTCTCAACAATCCAACATCCCGACAACCTAACATCCCGACAATCCAACTTCTCAAACTTCTTCCCAACTTCCCGAAAAAGCTAGATTAATTTCTGGTTTATGTCTGGAACTTGAGTTTGGCGGGAAATTGTCGGAATGTTAGGCTGTGATTGTCGGGAAGATGGATTGTCGGGAAGTTTGGTGTCGGGATGTAGGGGTAGACCTCAAATCAACAAAACGTCAGTTTATACAGTACGTGCCAAATTGTAAAATCAAACATGCATATATTATAAAGATATGGATAATTTTAAAACAATTTGTAAAATGTCACATGACATTGCAATGTGTCTAAAATCCTATCTAAATCTTTTTAATTTTAGATAAATAGAAAAACACTTTTAGACAGGTATGTCCGTTTGTCTAAAATGTCGATTTGACAGCGTTAACCCACGTGATCCATGTCCAAATTAATGATTTATAAGGTCAGGATAAGGTTTAGGATTGGTTTAGAGGACAAGATTCTATGTAAACTTGCCTCACTGTCATTTTTATTAGTACTCCAAGTTAGGTTAAAACATTTTACAGTGGTCATTATAAATATTCGGAATTTTTGATATAGTGCGAAAAATTGTCAAAATTGCCCGATAATTTAGACACATCTTCTTTATAATCTGTAAAACAAGTTTGATTAAATATTTTACAGAATTATTATTACACTTTTCTCAATAAAATTTATTGTAAAAAAAATAAATCAGATCCAACAAAGGTTGAGCTCATATTATTAAAAATAATATTAAGCAATCCTATTATTTTATTATAGGTGAAGTTATTCATTATATGACAAAGAATATATTTATAAATTTTGATATAAGTCTGACATTTTTTCATTAAATAATCAATAAAAATATAAAGTTAGCTACATTTATGGTTGTTTTTAATTGAATGGTATTTTTAATAAGATATTATACCAATATGTCTTAAGTAACTTTGTTCTTCATATCAAAAGACATATATTTGAAAAATTTCACAAAATTCTATTCATTCTTTATCATATAATTTATATACAAATTTAAAAATTCTGAATATTTATGACGACCCACTGTATATTTTTATATTTTGTGTCGGTGATTGACAAAAATTTGCGCACCTCTATTGGACATTTTTCACGTGGGATACAGCATCCCCATATTAGGCGATTCGAAATTTGGTATTACTGGTCTATGAATAGAACTGTGTGAAAAAATGTACGTGTTACTTTCATGTGGCCATTGTTAATAAATTTTATAATATTACATAAGCCTACATAATCCAACCTAATATTGTTGTTTCCACTTAAAACTGTTATCATAAAACTACTGACAGATTAAATAATCCAATACCTATGCAGAAAGAAAGGGAAAAACATATATCGATATAATGATTCAATCTTGTGTTGTTTGGAATTTTGTTTATATTTGTGTAATTTTCTCTCCATTGAACTTTATATTTTAATTAACATTGTGCATATATTCGCTAAAATACAGTAATAATCAGGTGCATTCATATTCGTAGCTCATATTTTTCCCTTAATGAATAAATTTCTGATCGGTAAAATTAAAAATGTTAATTAATCGCAAACCTGAATAAAAATCCGCACGCATAATTTCACCACAACATAATTGATAAATACGGTGCAGCAAAGTACTTTCATTTAATTAGTGAAATCACGCCATTAAATGATACAAAAAATCTTTCTAAGCGTCTATAAATTGTAAACTTTTTGTTAAAATTTTGATAGAGGGGAGGTTCTTATTCTTATTAATCTCAACATAATAAAAAATGGCTCTTAGCTACCCAACTTTAAAAAATGCTGAGGCTCTCATAGCTCTTTTGGATATGAAAAAAATATTTCCATTAGAAAAACCTGAGCCTCAAGAACTAGTATCCTCTCCAAATATAACAGAAAATGGAGAAACGAAACCAAGAAGACCGATAAATGCTTTTTTTATATTTCGACAAAACGTTATACCTGAGGCCAGAAGAGTTGGTGTAACTAATATGCAACTTATCAGCAAAGTTGCAAGTATGCTGTGGAAAAGAGCTCCGGAAAGTGACAAGCAAAAATACAAAAAACTTGCAGCAGAAGTCTCTGTCTTACATCGACAAAGATATCCAAACTTCCGTTATACTCAAGTTCGTTCAAACTTTGCCTTCAAACAACAAGCATTCTCTCGACAACCAAATAAAAATAATAATAATAATGATATGTCGTCTTCTCAAACTTCAAATCCTCTTTCTTCCCCTGAATTTAACGAGAATGCCTTTTCAAATACTTATCACGCTCCCATTACAATTGATCAATTCCGTTACAATAATTTCACAAGTCAGTATTCAGAGAATATGAACGGAAATCTCAATTTGTTCTTAAGCGACACAACTTTCTTAGGAATCCCTTTTAACGACATAGAATTAGACGTGTGCCCATCATTTTTTAATAACCATCAAAATGGGCAGACCTAATACATTAGCTGTGAAAGCAGTAAAATTATGATTTATATATTTTTTATCTTTGATTGTACATAATTATGCAGAATTTTGAAAAATAACTATATAAACTAAGCATTAAAATTTTTTGGGTAAATTAAGTTCTTTAAGCTCGTTTCTCCTGATTGTTTAAATATGAATAAAACATTCCCCTCCTTTTTACGATTGAGAAGTTGTTAGCTGGATATGAAATAAATTAAGGGTATAGCTTGAAAATTAAATTCAATTATCTTTCTCTTCTTTATTATGATTACTGAAATATTTAAGTAACTTGCATTCAAGCCATGTTTCTATATATAAACATAACATACATATAAGCTTAAAATAAACGTGTTTTGCCGACTCTATATATTAAAGTTGCCACGAACGTTGTTGAGATTACGAATTCTATTGGCGACGTCATATTTTTTGTGTTTCTTAACTAAGAACAAATTACAGGTAGCAACTTTCCACTTCTTGTGGGACCATATAAGGAGGGTGTGAGACGGAGCATTTAGGAAGAATTTATATAGTACCTGCGTTTATAGGCGTGCATTTAGAGAGGTGTTACTGTATGTTATTTCTTTCTTAATAATTTTTTTTATCATCATGACGTGAACCTAAATTCAGATTTCTGAAGCTGAAGTATTTCATGATCTACACAAGGTTTTGAAAATCTTGTTAAAATAACACATATTTTTTGCCTTTTCCGATTTGAAGATACGTAGATTCAGATAAAATAAACTTTAATATTCATAAAATCTGTTCTGTTAAGGTCAACATTTCATCGGATAATCCCTCTGATAATCTTTTTGGAATTACTAATTATTGTTATACAATTAACCTGTTAACGTTCCTGAGACAACCTGATTTGTTCTTTTCAATTTACAATTTTGAGAAATATTTCTAGAAAGACTTTAATTATTTTAGAAAAACCTTAATTATTTCAACAAAAAAAAACTTTAATCAGCTTAATTATTCTGAAGCTAGACAAACTTTAATTATTGTAATTCTTCTGAAGCTTATTGACTCATATCTGTAAAATCAATGCATATTATAAATTCGTATCCATAGTATTTATTTTATTGGTTTTGCCAAGAAAATATATCGTAGAAATTTCAATACGCAAAATTTAAAGTTAGTTGTTAGATTGATATCAATCATTTCAGGTTGGACGATTGAACTCATATGCGGCACATATTTTTGTTGTAATTCAGGACATTCATGCTCTTTTTTCATTCATAACATTTAGTCTTATATGCGTGTAATCCTTATTTGTGCATTTGTGCATGTATAACGATAAAGGAATTTAGTTTTGATCTGCAGCCTACATGTATCATTTGAATCAACGAAACAAGACAACAATTTTTGAGTAACTGCATGCTCTTTAAGTATGTTATACGCTTAAATATTTAATTAGATACATATGACGAACAAATATACACAGTGACTCTCTTTACAGTGCATTATTAAAACAATTTTCAAAAATCCATTATATCGAGAGTTTTTGAAAATTTATTATTAAATCTACTATATCAAGTAGATTTATTAAAGGCCGTTTTAGATATTATCTATATATCATGAGTTTAAATTAATTTCATTATAAAGGAGATACATTAAAAAGAACATTAAATTTTTCGATAAAACATCAAATGGATTACTTTGTTTCTTTTCGCAAAAATCTTAAATTTCTTCGATAAAGAAACAAACGTATTACATGTACTATCGCTATACTATCTGTAAGGAAGTTTGTTACATACATGTGATTGAAATCGTCTTTTTTTATAAAAATATAGATGAGCAAATCAAATCGTTATGAAAAGAGATACGAGTACATAAAAAAGCATCACCGTATACATGTATTAAGCACCACTTACTTTTTTTATTGTTTTCTAAAATTAGCACCTTAAATATACATGTATACTGATAATTACATGTAATTGATTTGAACCCCCCCCCCGTTCTTAAAATTAGCACTGCCATTTCGTTATACATGTAAATGATAGTCATTTTCCTGATGCTAAATATTTACGCGCATGTACAAAAAATTTTTATATTTGTGCGAAGTCGGGGATTTACCGATACATGTAATTATTAATTAATTCATGATTATTTTTTCGCAAAAAGACTTTGAAATTTCGATGGCAGAAGCGCATTTAATAAATCCACATTAAAGTTCTTCGCTTATCTGTTAGTATCTTTTAATACATGTAATGCAGTACATGAACATTGTACATGTATATGCAAAAGATGTTCGATATCGATATGCAGCTAATTAAATTCGTAATTATAGTGGTGTATTAAACAACAAAACCAAATTTTCTGACAACGACTATCTATTTACCGTTGCATACAATACACAGTATACATGTATATGACTCTTGTATAGTATATTTTTAGCATATGAAAATATGGAAAAACTTGCCAAGAAATTATCCCTTATTAAAATAAACTTTATTAGTCAATTCAAAATACGCTATACATATTTTTGGTTTATGTTTTCTTTATTATTCTAAAGCAAACGATAACACAACATTAGGTTCCAAAGTATTGATAGTGATTCCTACACATAAAAATGCTTCAAACATTAGATAAGTGAGTATCAGGCTGTTTTCTATTTACATGTTTTATGCAAGCACGATTCTTATCGTTATTGTGTTTACGTGAAGATGTGAAGATAATTGACGAGAGTTTATGCAGAGTATTTCGTGCATTATTATGCAAAAAGAATTTGTTTATGTGAAAACGGAGCATCCCGACACCATCTTCCCACAATCCAACTCGCCGACAATCCAACTTTCCGAAATTTAACATTCCGAGAATCTAACATCCTGACCTAACATCTCGACAAACCCACATCATTTTATATTTTAAATGAAGATCGCGCTCCATAAAGACCGGAAATTGGAGTTTTATCGGGAAGTTGGGTATGCCGGGATGTTAAATTCGGGAAGTTGGATTGCCGGGATGTTAGGTCGGGAAGTTAAGCTGTCGGATGTTGGATTGTTGGGAAGATAGTGGACGGAATGTTGGGGGTGAACTCGTGAAAAACATATCGACTAAAATAATTGGCAGAAGTTTATATGGATAAGTTACCATTCTCCAAAAATAATGAGAGTTGGTCATTTATATTATGAGACTAGCCACCAAACATCCAAAAATATGCGCAAATAAAAAATTTGTATGACTTTGCATTTCCATAGAAAACCAAGTAAAAATATCAAATGTAGGATATATTTTTGAGATCATAAAGTCTGACGTTACAACACAACCCCTTTATCATGTATAGCTTCAGAGGCTCTATTGTATGAGAAAGTATGGTTTATATGAGAGTTTAGTATATGATAAGTTTTAATATAAATATGCATAGTTCAGTAATATGTGTATTAGTGTTGCATATTATATATATATACATAATCATATAAATAATAATTTCAAATATTCATGTTTATATATATAAATATATTTTATAAAGTGAACTAACTTAATTATAATAAATATTATAATTGTCTGCTGTAATATTACAATACTTATAATTATAGTAAATATATAAAATACTAATCTGCTTGAGATGTTTTAAATAGCACATATAATTTATAGATAAAAAGATTAATAATTTAATAAAAAATATAACAAAATTAAAAAAAGATTAAATACAGTAGTGATTATAAGTAACTGATCCCCTGCCATTTTTCAAAATTATAATATAATAATAGTGTCTTAATTTTTTTCTTAGAAAGGATAATACCAATACTGATCATTGCTATTATTTTGAGTTAGTAAAATTATTTTAAAGAGACTAAGTAACGATTAGATTTTTGTATTTCCAAAAAATATCACTTTTACTACATAAATAATATAAAAATAGCATTTTTATATCAATATCCAAAAGGATCAAAGTTAAATAGATAGCTTCTTATATTGACTATAATAAATCTATAAAAGTTTTTTGAATAAAAAATATCAAGAAAATTAAGATCTAAATGATCAAAAAAATTAGATTAAATATATAATATAAGTATAAAAAAATTATAACTTGAATAAAGAATAAATATAATATAAAATATAGTAATAACTTAAAAGTCAAGATGCCAAGATTAGTAAATGAATAGTTAAATAATATCTTATTATATTAGAAATAAAATATTTAAATAAACTTCAAAAACTATTATTTATTAAGAAGTATTAAAAAAAATAAATAACATAAATAAGAAAATATCAAGACTTTAACTAGAATTAGATTAATTTTATCAATAAAAATATCTTTTAATTATAACAATTAAATAGAAAGATTTAATAATTTATAAAGAGATAAAAGATATTTTATATAATTAAGTATTCATAAAAAGTTTATGTTTAAAATTATTTTTTATTTTAAGAATTTAATTAACTAATTTTCTTTAAAAGAAATCTTAATATTAAATATATATATATATATATATATATATTATTTACAAAAAAGATTTTTTAACTTCTATTAATAAGTTTTTTGATAATAATAATATATATTAGCTTTTACAAAAGAATAATAATCTAAAATAATAATCTGAAATATTATTCAAAAATTTATAAAAAATAGAAAGAAGAAAATAATATAAAAATATTTTCTTAATTATTCAATTATTTAATCAAAACTTTATTGAAAATATATAATAACTTAAAAATCAAAAAAAATTCAAATTGTCTAAGAATTAAGTGAAAAATAAGAAAAAAATAAAAAAAGCTTTTAATTAAGCTTTCTATTAATTTAATTAACAGTATAAAAAGTAGAATTATAATATTATTAGAAACTAATAGTAACTATACTATATAATAATAATCAAAAATAATACAATGCTTAAATTTTTTACTAATTATAATTAGTAAAATATGTATTTTTTCTTATATATAAAAATTTTTAATTTTACTTTAAATACTTTTTATTTTTAGCTCAAAAAATAGCTAAAGTTCTCTAGCG